GATAGATAGATAGATAGATAGATAGATAGATAGATAGATAGATAGATGATATACATATATATGATAGATAGATGATAGATGGATAAGGATAGATGATTGATAGATAGATAGACAGACAGACAGACAGACAGATAGTTTTAAGGTCTAGATCTACTAGAGAGTCTTAGGTATAAGGATCATAAGTACAAAACCAGTCTGGGCAACTTAGCAATACCCTGTCTCAGAAAGTAAGTAAGTAAATATTATTAAAAGGTCTAGTGTGCAAGAAGCCCTAAAAACTTTTTTCTAAAGTAAACCCTCTAATAACCAGAGAAATGTATGGCAGCTTTAAAACTACATAAAACTCAAGAGTAAGCAGAATCTCACAAAGTCTATAGTCTCTGTTTACAAAAATATTAGCAGAAGTTTTTCCTTTTTTTTCTTGTTAAAAATTTTTATTAAACCAATCTTTTAAGGTTCATTTTTTTAATTGATGAAAGCAGAAGTTTTTCTTCTCAGCCAATTTTATTTACATACTATTCTAAAAGCTTTTCAAGAAGTTTGTTAAAAAGGTTAATAAAGACAAATAAAATGCAGCTGTAAATAGGACATGAAGGACAAAGTGAATCCACTACATGTACAGCAGTTTGGACCTGTAACATATGACACAGTAGCTTACTTATTGTCTCCAATGTGTGGCTACTGAAACCGTTTAAGTAACACTGTCCTCACATTAACAATTCTATTATATAACCTAACCTAGACCATTACACATAAAAACATAAAACCCTAAATGCCTCAGAAACTCTTAAAACTATAACCTTATTCAACATGGTAACTGTATCTATTATGATCATACAAACATGTATTTGTCTACAGAGCTAGTCTACAGCTTTGCTCACATTCTAATGGGAATCTACGGCTTCTAAGCCTTCTTTAAAGATTGTCAGGAAGTGCATGCCGATAAGGGCCTGATATAGATGTCTCCTCAGAGGTCTTCAAGAATCTGATATATTCAGAGGCAGATGCTCACAACTAGCCATTGAACTGATCATGGGGTTCTCAATGGAGGAGTTAGAGTGAGGACTGAAGGAGCTGAAAGGATTTGCGGCACCATGAGGAGAGCAACAATACCAACCAACCACAGCTCCCAGGGTCTAAACCACCAGCCTGGGAGCACTTAGGGAGGGATCCAGGGCTTCAGCTGAATATGTAAGAGTGGAGGGCCCTGCCCCGCACAGGTGGAAGATGAGATCCTTGACCTCATGAAGGCTGGACGCCCCAGGGGGTGGGAATTTTGAGGGTGGGGAAGTGGGTGTGGGGGGGTAGGTGGGGGTTACATCCACGGAGAAGAAGGAGGAGGGGTAAGGGGATAGGGGGTTCCCGGGTGGGTGGGGGATGGGGTAAGGGGACAACATATGAATTGTAAATAAAATATCCAATAAAAAAAAAAAAAAGATTGTCCACAGTGATCAACTGTTGGACAAAACAAAGCTGAGAAACGAGCCCTATGACTGCCATCAGATACGAAGACTAATTGCAATTATGTTCACTATCTTCACTAGTACTCAACAATTCAGTTTAAAGAAAATTAAGCATAAAATTAAAACACAAAGAGAATAAAATAAAGCAAAAAAGGGATAAGAAAACTGAGGGGGCTGGGAATGGCTCAGTGATTAAGAGTACTTGCTGCTCTTAGCGAGGACAGGAGTTCAGATCCCAACACCCTTGTCAGATAGTTCACATCTGTGTATAACTCCAGCAGGTGCTATGTATGATGCCCTCTTGTGACCTCTGTGGTAACAGCATACATGTGCACATATATATATAAATACATGCATACACATAAACAAAAATAAGTCTTTAAAAAAGAAAATAGATAAAAAGGTAATTTTACATAATATTTTACTCATTAAATATTTACTGAATATGTACAGGGTCTTCACTATAGTTTTAGCTATTTAAAATTTTTTACATTTTCTCAATAAGATATTGGTAAAAATATTCATTAATATTTACCACATGGCAAAGCATTAGCCAGTTATTGCTTTGAGAAGGTCAAATTTACACCCTTCAATAGATAACCATGAATCAAAATGTGAGATGAAAATGCTATGAGGGAAATTATCTAATATTATAGAAGCAGAGATTAATCTGTTTTGGACAATGGAGTACTGGGAATATTATGGTTTCAACAGAAAATGTTCCCATAAGCTCTTATGTTAAATGTTTGATTCCTCAATAACAGCACTACTGTGTAAGGTTGTGGATACCTGAGGTGTGTCCTAGCTAGAGGAAATGTGTCACCAGTGGATGTGCTTGATAGCTTGCCAGGGGCTTCTCTCATTCATTCATTCATTCATTCACAGTCTGTGTCTGTGTCTCTGTCTCTCTGCTTCTCATACACTATGAGGTGAATACCCTCCTCCTCCACATGCTCCCACCACCATGATGCTCATGCACATGGGTCTAACCAACCATGGACTGTGCCCTCTGAAATCATGAGTCCAAACACACTGTTCTCTGATGCAGGATAATTGTATCATCACATTGTGAACCCCAAGACGGAATTTCTAGTTGTGGTGTGCACACACCTTTAATTCCTCTGGCTGGAATATAGACATGCTTTTAGTATACACTTTTAATCCCAAACAATGAAGGTAAAATTAGTTTGGAAAAGGAATCACCCATGTTTGAAAGTGATGTCTAATTGAGTGGCAGACAAAGTGACAAATCAGAGAAAGATGTGACAGAATAGGATATGCCCAATTCTCATGAGAATAGAGTGGGAAGGGAAGCTACTTATAAGGAAGAAAGAGAGAGAGAGAGAGAGAGAGAGAGAGAGAGAGAGAGAGAGAGAGAGAAAGAAAGAAAGAAAGAAGACCGTTTTACTGGAACAGTTGTATAGAGACATGTTGTAGAGGGAGAACAAGCTAAACATAGGTGAAGACAGAACAATCCAGAGAATGAGAAGGAGCCAGAAGATCAGAACAGATTGTTACAGTTAGTTTGAGGCCAAGCAGAGCAAAAAGTCTGAGGCCAAGGGAGAAGCCAGACTGAATCAGTCAGCTTGGAGAGGAGTTTGAGCCAGAAAGGCTGAGTTGAACCAGTCATTCAGAGTTCAGAAAAAGCTAGAAAGAGTGAGCTGATTTAGCACCAAGTCTAAGAGGCTGAAAACATTCTAGGCCTAGATTAGCAGAAGCTTCCAGGACTAGGCCTAGGTTAGCAGACAGAGGCAGTAAGCTTCAGAGATGACAATTACAAACAGACAAATAAGAAACTTTTACAGTTCTCTCAGGTATTTTGGTCATAGCCACTCAAAGGTAACTAATACAAGCAAAAACAGATGAGGTTGTGTTTCTTACAGAAGATAGTAAGGGTTTTAAGGAGCTGAGAATTTTAAGGAGCTCAGTTGAGAGATTGCCAGCCTAGCATACACAGTTAATCCCAGCACTGTATAAATCAGGTAGTGTACACTTAAGACCTCAGTAAGGAAAAGGTAGAAGCAAGAAGATCAGAAGTTTAAATTCTTTCTGGCTGGAATCCAGACCTGGCTACATGAAACCCAGTGTGAGTCAGTCAGTCAGTCAGTCTGTCTCTCTCTCTGTCTCTCTCTGTCTCTCTCTGTCTCTCTCTCTCTCTCTCTCTCTCTCTCTCTCTCTCTCTCTCTCTCTCTCTGTGTGTGTGTGTGTGTATGTGTGGTGAATTAGGGGATTACATGATAAATGGAATCTGCCAGGCAGAAAGGAGCATTCAATATACAACTATCTTCTGGTAATTTTTCTTTTCTTAAAAATATAAATTATAAAATTTTAAGTACCATATAGTATTCTTTGCAAGAACAGCAAAATAGAAAGTAGTCAGTAACTCAATCTCAGGTTTTTCAAAGTGACAAGACCCATGGCTATAGTTCCATACCTGATTATTCTACATATCTTACCTACACTTGCAAATTCTTTACTATTGTTTAGCTAGTATCAAATATAACATAATAAACATTGAATTTATTATTTGGATCCTCTTTCAAATTCTTTATCACAAAATTTGAGAGTATATACCTAAAATTACCAAGACCATCATAAAACATCTTGATTTATTGACACTTTGAAATACACCAAAAAATGTTTATAAATTCAATACATATAAGGCCCAGGGTCTTACTTCTTACTATTTGCCACAGTAAGACTAAAACACATTCGAATCATTAGTAAAGTATCCTTCAAAAATATAAAATTCTCCAATTTTAGTACTTAAATATCCTAAGCATTGTTAACAAAAATGTATAACATTTTCTTTTATCTATCCTACACTATTAAAATAATATATTAACCCAGAACATCTAAGTTGTTACAAAGTAAAAGAATAAACTCATGCAATTAGTAAAAAAAAGATAATAATAATTTTGGGGCCTACAAAGATGGTTCATTCATTATATTTGCTGCTTGGACATGAGCAGCTTCTGCTCTTCCAGAGGACCAGAATTACCGTTCCCAGAACCCACGTGGGATGGCTCACAACCACTGTAACTCTAGCTCCAGAGCAGTCTTGGGCATTAACAACACATGTGGAAAGCATGCACACACACAGACAGAGACACAGACAGACAGACAGACAGACAGGCATACATACACCCACACACACAGACAAAATTACTATTCTTCCTATCAAATACTTAAAGAGAGGATACATACTGGGACTGCAGCTCAGTGGCTGAGTCTTTGACAACTATATGAGAGATCGATCCTGGATTTGGAGTCTAGTACCACAAAAAAAGACAATCTGATGGCCAGTATTTTATAAGAAGGTTGAATTTGGAGGCATTTGTGTATTTTTATTTATGCTTTGGTGAATGTTTATTTTTTTTTAATTATTTGTTATGGCTTGAGTGAGACAGGCACATGTGTTTGAACAACAGAGTGCCCAGTCTGGCACTTTTTTAGAGGTCTGTGGAACTTTATGAGTTGGTCAGTTGGTTGCAGGAAGTGAGGTACTGGGTAGGCCCTGAGATTTCATTTCCAGAGCCTTGCTCCCCCTGCTCTGCACACTGCAGGCACAGTGTGACCTGCAGCCTCACAGGTCGGCTGCCTGGCCTTCCCCGCCAGGATGGACTGTAGTCCTTTCAAACTGTAACCAAAATAAAGCTTTCCCTCCTTGGGCCGCTTGTCAGACATATTGTCACAGCAATGAGAAAAATAACAAAATTTCAGAATCAGTGTACTAAAAACTGAAAAATCATAATCCTATTGTAGTTATTGTAGACTATACCAGTATTTCCCTAATACCAACCTGTAAGAAACCAAAGGTTCTCGGAACTCCACACGATTGTTTTTCTTAACATTACTTTCCAAGGTCGTAGCCCTGAGAGGACTACGAGATTTTTCTTTCCGTGGTTTAGAAAGTTTGGAAGTTGGAGCACTGACCCAAGAATCATCTAGACATCTACCATCTGAAAGAGAAAAAAAAAATCTATGAGAACATATGATATAAACCATGTCTGTCTAAGAGAATAACTTACCTATGTGCTATTTCTACCGTCCATAGGTTAGATATTAGGTAAGCAGATAGAAAACACCCTATCAACTAAATTTATGGAAAAAAACTGTACTCTAAGAAGGTAATACCAAATCAAAATCTATACATTGAAAGGTAGGAGGATTATCAGTCAAGGACTGACTTCTGTACCACAAAGTGAGTTCAAGTCCAGTGTAGACAATTGATCTCAAAATACAAAATAAATAAAAGGCTGAAGATACAGGTCAGCAGTAGGGACTGTCCCTGCATGTGGGGCCCGAGGTTAAATCCTCAGGAACCTTCCCTTTGAAACAATAAGACAAGAACTGTCAAAATTCAGCAACACTTAGTCTAAGTAGAAAGCATTTGCTAAGTAGAAAGCACTTCCACCAAGGAAACAAACAAACAAACAAACAAAATCAAATATCTGCATAGTGTCAATTTATTATATAGTTTCTATATGGAAGATATTCATGACTAACAATTTAGCCCCCCACAAAAGAAACACATACATGTCAAGTCAACTAAATTTTACCTTCAAAGACTATACCTATGAACTAAAAAAATAAGTATATATAACCTTAGACACCCAAACAAAGTTCTCATTACCTCAAACAATGAAAACTCAACTGTCAGACATGATGCACTGGGGGAAACATCATCAGCATCACTAAGCGTGAGGCTGTGTCAGAAGTACTCAGCATAAGTACTCAGTCTAAGGACAAGCACTGCAGACTACCAAGAAATACTAAACTGAAAGAAGAAAAATCTGTATGAATGGGGCTGACCCCAGAGCCCACACAAAGGTGGAAAGAGAGAATCAGTTCTACAAGGCAGCCTCTGGCCTGCACAGTGTAGGCCATGGCATATGTGCATCCCCACAAGCAATAACAATAATTTATGAATCTGTATTTAGTATAGTTAAATTCTTAAAAGGGACTTCACACATACCTTTCCTACTTATTTTTCGGGTAGCACTTGCAGACTTCTTAGTATCCATCACAGAATCGACCACAGCTGTACATGTAGGGGTTACTTCTAATTTGTTCTCAATGTGTCTCAGCTAAAATTTGAATACAATGAAAACACATAAATTAATCCTGAAATAATCTAATCACTATTCATCTCTACATTACATACATTTAAAGCTCATGGAGAGAGATTGTATACTGCTTTGTTATAAAGCTAAATTTTTATTATATTAAATAAAAATACAATTTTCTCCCCACCATTATGTAGGGCTATGTTTCTCAAGACACAGAGAGTAGACCTTCTCTAGAGAATACAAAAAATAATAAATAAATAAATAAATAAATAAATAAATAAAATAAATTAGCTGATTTGCTTTCAAAAAGACTTCCAAAGATTAGAACATAGAAAATTCCACAAAATAATCAAACAACATCTGGAGAGATAGCTCAGCAGTTCAGAGCACTTGCTACTCTTGGAGGATCCAGATTCAGTTCCCAGCACCCACATGGTGGCTTACAGCTGCCTGTGGGCACCAGCCACACACACACAGTGGACACATACTCGCAGACAAAACACTCAGACACACACAAAAATAACTAAATTTTTAAAAAATAGACAATAAAGAAACAAAGCCAAACTCAGGGGGTATATATAACAAGCCTTCTAACAGGTCCAGTCCAACCCCCACATATCCATCCTTCATATCAGCTCACAAAGTGAACCAGCTGATAAAGGTGAGTACCCACACAGGTCACTGCATAGTGACATGTCATCAGAGTGCAGACCTGAGACCTAAAGCAGTATCTAGTTTACTTCTTCACTACTCATGTTTGCTCATTGTGGAATATATACCCTTGTTTTCCAATTAAATATTCTATTTAATCACATCACACCACGGTATCAACTTTAAAACAAGTGTTTGAAATAGAAACTAGAACTACTTACAGCAGCCTTGGTCTGAGAAAGTGCATCCCATGATGTGGTTACATCTACTGAGAAAAAAGTGACATGCAGCAGAGTCAGAGTTCTGAAGGAAACTTAAACTATAAAGTTTCATATGCTCCCAAATGTGGTCAAAGGCTTGAGAACTACTTCATTAGAGCTATTCCTTATCAAATGCATTTATAATGCTAGATCAGGCTTCTCAAGAAATTCATAAAAGTAAGAAGTATACTCAGTTAACAGCAATAGCCTGAACACCCCCACAACAGAGAGAGAGAGGGAGAGGGGAGAATAAATAAGGTAAAATAAGGTAGGGTCTTGCCATATAGCCTAGGCTGACCTCCAACTTAGAATCTTGCTGACTGAGGCTGTTGAGTGCTGGGATTTTAGAGATCTAGCAATACACCCCAACCAAATATAAAACTTTGTGTTGTCTTATATCATATTTTATATGTGAAAGAATATTTTTAAAACTATTCCATACATCACTTTATCAATACAAACAAATCTACTTAGCCTTTCAAGTAACAGTCTTTCAACTAGCTGGAGGCTGCACTGTTTCCCATGGGTTATCCTCTTCAAAGAGAAGAGTGTTCATTTCCTTCAAAGATGGCTTAACTTCTAGTTTCCTCACAAACAGGAACCTTCCTCTGGATCTTCTTGTTTGTCAGTTTCCCTTTTAAAATATCATACCTTAAAGTACCTCTAACAAATAACTTTAACTTATTATGTATGTACTATATATACTTACAGTCATATCAGGATTTCAGAAAAAGAAACACTAATTTTGCATATATAATTTTAAGGAGAGTTCATACTGTGTAGCAGAAGCTAGCCTTAATCTCATAATCCCCCTGCCTCAACCTTTTGAATACTGGGATTACAGTAATGCATGACCACATATGTCTGTCTCAACTAATCCACTTTTTAAAGGGTACTTGTATATTAAAAAGTAAAATTTTTAATTATTTATCCACTTTTTAAAAATGGTTTAAGTGTGTGTGTGTGTGTGTGTGTACGTGTAAGTGTTCATGCAGATGACCACTAAAGCTGAAGTTATAAGTACTTGCAAGCCAGACAATACAGGAGGTGCTGGGAACTGAACACAGGTCCTCTGCAAGATCAGTAAGCACTCTTTTAACTACTGAGCCACCTCTCCAGCTCTCCTCTCCAGAGAGCATCCACTCTTCTGTTTTATGAATCAAAAGATAATGCACAAATCTCATCTATTGATTAGCCCCAAGTTTAACATATTATAAGACCCTAGAAAGAGACTAAGTTCAGTCTAAAAAAAAAAATCATACCTTGAACAGTCTCCTTGCTTTGAGAGTTCCTTGGATTTGGTAAAGGCACCTCTTTTGACTTGCTGCTCCTCATCTTGCCAATTTACCTGCAATTATGTCATCACTATTATAAAATATAATAGTAAAGAAAGATCCTGACCTATTCATGAAGGTCTGAAAAATTCTGTCATCTCTAATAAATGTAGCTTCATATTCTCATAAGCAACACACAATAATCCAATAAATAATACTTTAGGGGAACTATTATCATTATTTTCAACATTTTCATTATTTGCAGAGCGTCCATTATGTCATGAGACTGGAGCTGTCCAGTGGTAGAACACATGCTGTCCTTACATAAGTTCCCAGTTCATCCCCTAGCATGACAATAAGAAGAGGGCTGGTGAGACGGTTCAGTCATGCTAACAATCTGGTTTCCATCCTAATGGAAGAGCTAATCCCAGCAAGGCACCCTAGGGCCTCCATATGCTGCCATGGCATGCACAATTCCCCTCAGAGTTTCTCATACACACAGAGAATAAACAGGAAAACAAAATCTTCCCGTAAAATATAAACATAAAAAATATAAAATATATACCTTACTTATCATGTTTCATTTTCTCTACTGCAAACAACACTGTAGCCAGGCATGGTGATACATGCCTTTAATTTCAGAACTAAGAAGGCAGAGGCAGGTATATCTCCTTGAATTTAAGAACAGCAAGTTCCTGGCCAGTCAGTGATTCACAATGAGGCATTGTCTTAAAAACAAAAACAACACTGTGTATATGAATTTTGGCCTATTTAGACTATTTGACTGGAGTAATATCTGCAAAATGTATCAAAACTGAACTAAAGAATGTGAAGGACATACTGCTGAGATTCAATGTCAAACTCTTTTCTAGCTTCCAGTAATATAAGAGCCTAGAAGCTTCACTAAGACCTTTTAATATCATTTGTATTACTTTTGTTTTTTGCTGATTCCATAGGGAAAAAATGATTGCTTAAATCTGAACATGTTAGAACTTAGCCAGATCAAATATTCTGCCACAGATCTTTTTTCTCCTTTTTAATTTATTCTTCTCTCATATATTACATCCCAACTGCAGTTCCCCCCCCACAGCCTCCCTCCCCCTCCCCCCAGTCCCTCTCCTGGATCTATGCCCCCTTCACTTCCCCTCAGAAAAGAGCAGGCCTCAACCTCAGAAAAGAGGGGCATCAACCAAACATGACATAACAAGATACAACAAGACCAGGCATGTGATCTCACAGCAAGGCTGGACAAGGCCACCCAACAGGAGGAACAGGGTCTCAAAGGCAGGCAAGAGTCAGAGACAGCCCCGACTCCACTGTGAGGAGTCCCACAAGAACACCGAGCTATTCCCCATAACACAGATGCAGAGGACCCAGGGCAGACCCACAGAGGCTCCCTGATCTCTCTGAGCCAACTTGAGTATCAATCAGTTGATTCTGTGGGCCATGCTCCTGTGGTGTCCTTGATCCTTCTGGCTCCTCCAATCCTTCCTCCCCTTCCTCCTCTGCCACAGATCTTAATCTTAGGTTTTTTTATTTATGAATTATCCTTTGTTCATTCACCTAGTAAGATCTTAATTTTTAATTAATTTTATTAGTTCTTTATAGCATATTAAATCTTATCATATTTATTAAATAATTAATCCACAAAATAAGTTTAAAATCTGGAACTTAAAGGGAGGAAGGGGCAGGTCAGCAGGTAAAAATGCTTGCTGCCAAGCCTAGCAACCTGAGTTCTAGCCCCTAAGCCACATTACAGAAAGAGAACTGACTCCCTAAGTTGTCCTCTGACCTCCACATGTGTACCATGGCAAATGCAACCATGCACATACACATGCACACAAAATAAATAAGATGCAACAACTGTTTTATTCAATTACTTATTTATAAAGAAAATACAGTATGTTACTTGGAGTCCTGAGAAACTGAACCCAGATCACAAACACAGTAGGCAAACACCACTGCAATGCATTCTCGGTTCCAGTGTATTGAATATTTTAAAATCCCAAATTAGATTTAAGAAAAGTAAAATTTTACTTAGTCCAATACATAAAATTTTAAAGTATATTAATTTTATGGGAATTAATTTTTCCAAGGAGTAGATAATCCTGATATTAAGCTTCCTAGAAACAAAATTCAAACTGTTCTAAAAATGAAATTCTTTTAGGGGTCAGAGATGTGGTTCGGTGGCAGAATGCCTGCTTATCACACGTCCTCTACTCAGTCCTTAGTGCTGTACATACAAAACTTCTTCAAAAATACATTTTCTTCTGAAAACAAGAGCTGAGGAAAAACAAAAATCTGTAAATTTACCAATAGTTTAAATTTTTCAACCATAAAAACTTTAATCACAGTTATCAAGAGTGATTGAAAAAAAGAGCTCAAGGGCTAAGAAGGCTCGGTGGATACGAGCACACACTATACACACGTAAGGACTTGGTCTAGATCCCAGCCAGCATGCAGAAAGCTGGGCATGGGTACACACGCCTGTATGCCAGCACTGCAGAGGGCAAGAGACAGGTGTGTCACTGAAAGACCTGTCTCAAAAGGGGATGAGGCAGAGAATGATACAGCCGGGCATCGGACATCCTCTCAAGGACAATATGCACGTGTGCACAAGCACACACACATCCACTTGGTTATTCTTTATCACTAATCTGTTAATGATTTGGCAAAATTGTCTTTATAAACACTTCTTTGCTTAAAAGTAAGTGCAAAAAAATATAGTGATTATTTTCTCAATGTAAAGTATAAATAGGTCAGAAAAAAATAATGCAGTGTAAACAAAAGAGTTTCAAAATAAATGCCTAATTTACAATCTTTAATTACAAATATCTAGTAAAACAATTATATAAGACAGCATGTATCAATTTCTTACACATATATATGTAATATTTTTATATATATAAAATTGTCATACTTGCTCATAAAATGATGTAGTCCAGGATCACAACGCTATGACATAAGGAACACCAGAAACAACACATGTGCCATATAATCCCATCAGTTAAAGGACAACACAAGAAACAGTCTCAGCGGTGCTACACTAAGGCTGATCATCAGCCATGGAGTGACTGAACTGAGGTCACCTCCGCCAAATGGATTTAGGGGCTAGCCAATTAATTGTTTATAATCACTCATTGATTTGGATACCAATTTCAGCTCATAAGACTTAACTAAGTCATACATTTGTATGTTGTTTTCATGCATATCATATTTCATTTACACCATTGTTTTAAAGACTGTTTTCCAAACCCAAAACCAAAGCAACAATCTTAAAAAATTACTTTTTCCTGACTTTGGGTTTATTTTTTTGATGGTCTTAGAACTATTTGAGTGGGCTGAAGAGGTGGCTCAGCAGTTAAGAGCATTTGTAGAGGACCTGGGTTTGAGTCCCAGCGTCCCTAAGGTTGTTTACAATCATCTATAACTTCTGCTAAAGGAGTCAGATACCCTCTTCTGACTTTTGCCAGCACTAGGCACACATGCAGTGCACTGACATAGATGAAGGCAAACACTCATAAACATAAAATAAATTTAAAGACTTACTTAAACATTGTTTAAAACTATATCTGTCTTTTAAAATCTAAAAAAAACATACTTTCAATATAATGATATTATAGCAATATTTTATTAACATCACAATTTCAAACTTCAATCTTGAAATTCCCACTACTCCTAGATTAATAATGTAAGCACAGCTCTCCTGTTTCCTTGACAGCACATATGCCAACTGAGTGATGAAGGGCCCTCTACCTCAGCCCAGTACTTCAGTGGTTTCATTTCCCAAGTACCTATCATTAGACCTCTTTTCTAGCTCCTTCTTACCAAGAAAATTCAACACATTTTAAGGTATGCGTATACATGTCTGAGTATACATGCGTGGGTGGGCATGCATATGTGTGTGTGTGCATATGCACAAGGAGGGCAAAGGTCAAAGGTGGTGCCTGTCTTACTTTTTGAGAATCTAGAGCTCACATGGCCAGCAAGCCCCAGGAATCCTGCTTCTACCTCACTAGAGCCATGCATGATTCCAGGCACACACCACAATGCCTGGCTTTTAATGTGGGTTCTAGATCTGAGCCCAGATCGATCTTCATGCTTGCATAGCAAACAGTTTAATAACTACGCCAGCTCCCCTCCGTACACTTTTCATAATCTCAGCTATTTTCCAAATGCTACTGTAACTTGCTGAAATCCTTCTGGGGCTCTGGATAGATATTTAGAATGTGGTTGGAAATTTTACAGGTTTAGGAAAGTGGCAGTGTTGGTTATCCTCTGGAGTTCATGACCTCACCACCCACAGGCAGGGCTGTATTTACTGGAACAGTGATGAACTCTCACCTACCGAACAGGCCTTAAGTCCAATTTAGTTATCCTCAAGATATACCTGTGAGCATATCTTGGTCATCATTGTTGTAATTTACAAGCTTTGAGGCAGGTAATATACTGCTTTATTCACATTCTTCTAGATAAAGAGCTACAGGCAATTTATGGTTGCTAGGAGAGTTAGAACTAGCCTTCTTCTAGGACAAGTGCCCTAACAGGTATCCATTCCAAGTGGTCAGTCTTCAATACATATACATATAAGCACCACTAAATGGATGGAGCATGTTGCATTTATTTATGTATGCATGCATGCATACATATATACATACACACAGAGAACAGTTAAAGAAGTTATGCATTTGAGAGTGGAAGGACACTGGAGAAGTTGGAAAAGGGAGAGGGTGAGGTGGGAAGGGGAAAGGGTAGGTGGAATTATGTAAATACAGCACTCGGGTATGAAATTCTCAAAAGTAAGTAAAATATTTTTGTATTATTTAAAACAACACTGTCAGGGTGAAGAGAAGGCTCAGCAGTTAAGAGCACTGACTGCTCTTCCAGAGGTCCTGAGTTCAATTCCTAGAAATCACATGGTGGCTCACAACCATCTGTAATGGGATCTGATGCCCTCTTCTGGTGTGTCTGATGACAGCAACAATGTACTCATATACATAAAATAAATCTAAAAAAAAAAAAAAAAAAGCAGCACATCTGTCAGAAGGACTAACGAGAAAAGCAAGGGAGAGTA